TTTAGATGAATCTGACTTCAGCTATGCCTAAAATGAAATATAAATGTTTTCTTGAAATTAGGCTGACTGTTGCACGTTTGCTTTTTGTCTGTTCTGTCCTGAGCCAGTACGTTTTTTCATGCTTTCTGTTTCACAAAGGTAATTAGTATTTGCTTAAATGAGGATTTACTAAACCAAGTAAAGATACTTGTCATGGGCTACAGTGAAATATAGTACTAAAGCTTCCATTTTTTATGGCAGGAATGAGTCTTCAAAAGAAAGAGAAAAAACTGTGATTGTTATAACTAATATTTTTTTAATGGGCACTGAATAATTAAAATTTGGTATTCCCCATTGACTTTTGAGTAGAAGAGCTTTGCATCCTGTAGCATCCGTGTGCTTGCTCTGAATTTGTAATTGGCATCTTCATTCTTAGGATATTAGTTTTCCAGAAGTACTTTTTTATCATTTAAACTAATTAGTGTCTTTTTTTAGGTGAATTGGGTGGATAGTTCTTTGCTAGCTGGACAGAAGGAGAGAAAGTAGGATTATTTATGAAAAAGCTGTAGTTTTTAGTGTTGTAGTGTTTAGTTGTGGTGTTTAGAGGGTTGCTGAAGACCAGCAAGATGATAGGCTTGGCGCCTCTTGTACAAGACAATTACTCTTTCTATTTGTTAAATTAATATAAAATAATTTGTGGTCAGTAATTCCCATCTTTTCAGAATAAAAGATTGAACAGTGCAGACGTATTCTTCTATGTTTCATGTAATGAGATGCTTCATATTGCAGTTTGGAAATATAAAATATGTGAAATGCTGTGAACTGATACGTGTTTTGCTTGACATACTCATCTGACACATACTTGAGAACTCCTTCCCCACCTTTTTCTGCTAACTTGGTTGTAACAAAGAAAATAACCGGAGACTGATAAACTTTATTAAGAGGGGAATGGCTGTGGATGAAGTCAGAGAGAAGGGGAAAGAGCTGGATCTCAGTGAAAGAGCTCTTCATGCCATGAATCCAGAACAAATGTTTGTACTAATAATTAAGCTTCTGAGGAATTATGACATCAAAGTATTCATGCATCTCTGTGCATCTCTAGTGGTTTGCCTTCTTTTCAAATAATTGTAGATCAAATGAAGCAGTTCCAAGATTGAAAGGAAAACGAAGGAATAACAGAAAGCCATGACAGAGGTTTAGTTACAGTTCTAAGCGTAAATGAATTAAGAACATGCTTTTACCTTATTTTTGCTTCTAGAAATGTGTACATTGCCCAGTTACTTGCAGTGATGAAAAATTTTGTTCTCTCCTATTTATTGGATATTTACTGCTTTTTGCACTGTGCTTATTCCTGCAGAAATCCTGTCCTGTGCAGCGGCAAATCCTATTTAATTACTGTGATTTCCAGTTAATAGTATCTGAAACTTCTATTTTTTCAAAGCACTAGGCTGAAATTGGTCTAAGTGTGTTATTTATTGTGTATGTGTGGTGAATCCGAAAGAGACTCGTGATTTACTTTAGGAACTGGATGGGGAAGTGGCCTGTGTAACACTACTGCTTAGCTCTAGTATCTCTGCAGGAAAAAAAAAAAAAAAAAAAAAATTAAAAAAATCGTCTTGGGTCCAAGTAGTCCACTTTGCAGCAGTGATAATTACCTATAGGCAAGACCTTAATGAATTGGTTTGTTTGCTTTTTTCCATACGGCTAAAGCCATAGGGAGAGGAGAATAAGGTAGTTTCTCTGATTTGCAGTATTTTCCTTTCAGAAATCTTTTTCTCAACACGCTGAAAATCAAGTATTCACCAGGGGAAGGCTAGTTTTTTAACTTGTTAAAAAAAATTGAAAGTAGAATTTGAATTGCGCAGTGATGAGCATCTGAAGCATGCCAAAGCTTTCATGGCATAGTCAGTCTTGTTTTTCAGAATGGGCCTGCATATGGCTTTCTGTTCTGTTTCAGAAGTTAAACTGTGAGGGAGTAGCAGTGGTGGAAAAACGACTGCATTTAACCATGCGATAGTTACACAGTTTTAATTGAATCAGTTAATTACCTTGTGTAATAGCTATACTTGCTAACTAACCAATTTTCTAAAATGTAATTTCTTTCTTCTTGTTATATGAAGTATAAAACTGACAGCCAAAAGTACTGCTTCTTAGGATCATTCATCTATACCGTACTGGGTTTTTTGTAGCCTGTATTCTCTCTTTTCAGTGTAAGAGTTTAAAATTTGCCGTAAGGATTTCAATGTCTGGTTACCATATGCTGTAGGTAGATCTTCAGCTGAGGTTTATTTAGACACGCTGGTAGTTTGACTTTGTTCACACTGAGTGAAGTGCAAAAGTGCTGTAGAGGAATATGGAGACTCTTGCTTCATCCTTTCTGTCTCCAGTTATGGGGGAGCAGTCTCAGGCTCATGACTCGTTTAATTTTGGTCAGTTAGTAGTTTATCACATTATATTAAATAGGATTTTATTAAGGAAAAAAAAGTCTGTTTAACAAGTGGTTTAATAATGTTGAAAAGCCTGTTGTGAAGCCTCAGGAACTGATTAAGGAAAAATATACAGTGTATTGGGAATGCATGTTCTTTCTGTCCAATACAACTTTGATTATTCTTCTGGCCAAACCGGCCTTTGCTGTATTTGCACTCTATTACACAGCTCTGGTTCCTTCTGAGAAGCAGTTTAGCATTCCTTCGAACAAACTTCTTGACTATTTCTCCAGCAAAATATTTTAATAAAACATTTTTTTTTTAATCTTCATGTACATCTACTTACAAGATCTAATCTATGCCCTAAACTCACAAAGCAAAATCCGTTTTAGGAGATGCCTGCAGAGAGGACGAGGACCGTTAGACCCTGGTGTCGGTGCGGCAGGGCTGATAACTTCTCTCCTGGACTTTGGCAGCATCCTGAGGTGCCTGTTAGGCCAATGTTTCCTAGGAAAAGAGAGGCTGCCACCCTGTGCCACGAGTCCTTATTGCCTTTACACGGGTGACAGTGGTGCTGCAGCAGGAGAGCAGTGTCTCATGATGTGGGGGTTTTTTTTTGAGAGAAGGTTTAAAGCTGGTGAGTGAAGGCTCATGGTGGCGTTCTTAACTGCTACACAGAAAACAAATACTTGTGCGGTTAGGCCTTCGTGTGTCAGGTTCGTTGGAGTGGTTTGGTAAGCAGGAAATCAATTAAAAGTCTGAGACTTCAGTAACGAGAATCCGTGACATAGCAGGTTCTTGCAGGCTCGGTCTAAGGGTCTTTGATTTTTTTTTTTTCTGGTTTTGCATAATGAACTTGTAATCACTGTTAACAGTAAGGTCCCAAGTAAACTGAATTTATTTTTCTTATTAAAAGAGGAAAAATATGTGAATTGATTTGTTGATGTTTATTAAAATTAAGCATTAGTATATTATTACATATTTAAATAATAAAGTAAAATAGACTCGATGTATTGTTAATGCACAATTAATACAGAAATAATGCACAACATGAATGCACAATTACTGTATTAAAATTACATAATGTGTGTGAAAAAGGTTGCTATTATAATATATATTAAAATTGGGACCCTGTGACGTAGAGCAGTGCTGGAGGTGGCTTGATGGAGTTAGGCAGAACTGAGAGAGGACCAAGTTTTAGTCTTGGTTCTGCTCCTCCTTTTGCCCTCCCATTAGGTGAAAATATTGCTCAATGATTTCATGGCTAATTAGAATTTTTGTTTTTTAATCTTGCTTTTCTTTATACATATACTTTTAAAATTTTAATGGTCTCTCTTCAAGGAATGGATAAGGTCTGTGAAGGGCGTGGAGGTTTTAACTAAGTGAACCTAATGAGTTCTCAACTTTAAACTAGAGATGTGTCAAAGCAAGCTTCTTAGTAATTCTCAGCATTGATAGCACGGAGATACAAACCCTGAGGGTTTGCAATGTATTGTAAGTGGAACTAACATTTGAGCCAGCCCACTACTAAATTTACAGATAAAAATTTCAATTTATTTGACATCTGGATCCTAACCTGATCATTGAGTATGTATCTCACAACAGTATTTTACATTGATTTCAAATTTCAAGAGTTTCTGAGATTTGTGAAGTCTGCACAATAAAAGATGATGCTTAGGGACCAGCTATATGCGCTTCAAGGCAACCGTGAGGAAAATCAGTGGGAGAATTGTGGCTTGCAGGGGGAGTTATGGCTTGTATTACTGTTGTTGATTTGTTGGTGTCTTTGGTCAAAGTACTGTTTGAATTTCACGAAATTAATTCAAATGTTTTATCTTTGCCTTAAAAAGCGTCACCACTACTTGAATAGCTAGGGAACAAGTTAATTGTGCTAGACTAAACATTTTAGGCTACTAAAATTCTGCTCCAGTAATTACAGAAGGGAGTAACTGTAGCCCTGTCACATGTGAGATCACAGTTTTCCACCACTACAGTTTTTTGACAGGGATATGTAGTTTTAGGTAAAGAATACTGACATCTTGCGGCTGCATGAAATACCGCAAAGATCTCCGGTCATACCAGCCTTTACATTTAGAAGAGCATGTTGCAATTTTAACAAAAGTTGATGGCTGCATTTCCCAGTGTAAACACAAACTTCTAGAATATGCCTGTCTTGTGAAAAGTGTTAAAAGTAAAAAAAAAAACCCACAAAAAACCAAAACCAACAAACAAACAAAAAACAACACAAAAACAAAACACCAAAACACCACACCACTGAAAAAAACCCGAAGTCTGTCTTATAAGTTTGCTGTTGCTCATGAAGATGCAGTTATTGTTCATGCTGGAATTATTGTTTAAGATGGTCTTGGATCAATTAGACTCAAATATTACTAAGACTCAGGAACAGCTGAGAGAGAAATTGGATGGGATGGCATTCACATTTCTATGTTTTCCATTAAAAAGAAGTGCACTTACATAACAGAAATCTTACCAAATGGCATTTTAGGGAAGGTATTAGTTTGAATTGTCTATCCAGCTTTTTTCTTTTGCTTGAAGACTAACTGTGTTTTTTGTAATCAAAATATGCAGGAAAAGATGAGTGGTCTTTCTTCAGTCCGCCATGGAGGTGATCGTTTCATGAGGACAGTCATAGGCACAACTTCTGTGTCTTGCAGCGGCGCACTGGAGCCCGTCCAGCTGCAGAATGGCTGTCTTTCTCAGCTGGACCAGTTCCCAAATCTGTTTGCTGGCCGGTTCCTGAAACATTGGTGCCGGTGCAGGGGAGTGGGCAGCGGAGGGGCAGCAACAAGCGCTGCTGTTGCTCCTTCCAGCAGCAGCAACGGCTCACTTCGGCTTCAGGATTTGCCGTGGGCAGCCTCGTGCTGCTCAGCCGCTGGTTTCCACAGTAAGGCTACTGGACACAAGTGGAAGAGGCCTTTGGCCCCTTCTGCCCCGTCCTTCCCCCATGGTCACTCTCTTTCCCAGACATCAGTGCTAGTCAATGCGCTGGCAGTTGAGGTCGGGTTGTGGGGATAGCATCACAGCATGGTAACGGCAGTGTAGCAAATTTCAGTGTGAAACCTCGTGGCAGGGGCAAGTGATTTTATTTTGAACAAAAACTGATTTTGGTCATTTGCTTTCACACCCCCACCCCTGCATATTCACATTCACAAGCACAGATGTGTTGTCAGTGTTGTGCATGATAGGGAGGGGAGGGACACCAGCCGACGGGTTCTCTTAACATCTCTGGGGCTCCTGCTAGTCGCATGACCACATCTGTGCTGGTGTTGGATGTGCCATGTTGTACCTTCTGGTAGCTGGCAGTGATTTATCTTTCAGTCTTGTCACGCCTCTGTGTGTGCAGTCCGGTTTTTGCGTGCTGTCCGTCTTCCCACATGGGTGGCTGGAGAAGAGGACACAGATGTGCATGTGCATGGCTGCTAATCTCTGTGCCCCCGACACGTGCCATCCCAAGAGTCCTCCTTCCACCAGTTGTTCCTTCTGACATTTCCACACCCACATCCGATCCGTTCTCCATTTGTGCCATGTTTCACATTTCTCTTTCGGTTCCCTTCGGGATTGTCTTTCTGGTCATAGTTAATTGCTACTCACTTGTATCAGAGGGCTTAGAGCTGTGCTCTCCTGTGGGCAGGTGATTGCTGCAGGAAGCATGTGAACTTTGTGAACTGACTTTAGAGCTGATCTGCTCATCGCGAATGTTGTAGGAAGTGTGTCTTCATGGAAGAGGGAACCATGGACACAATAAAGTCAATGAAGAGTTACGCTAGTGGTGTCAGTGGAGCCTGTGCCTTTTCAAAGGCAAAAGATAATTAGATTAATATTTTATAGAAATAATTTTAACTTTGTAATCTAATTTTTGTGATTGCATTAAGATAAGATCTTAGTCCTAATAAGGACGTAATTCTGTTAACTAAAAACTACACTGCCTTAGCCTGTGTTTCATGTATGACTTTGGATATGCATTGCAAACAACAGAAAGTGGTGCAAGCACCCATTTGGTGTTAATACAGTGAATTATCTTAGTAATGACACTGTGGAAAATAATAAATTGCAATAATAAAAATTATTTCCTCAGCTGCTGTTTTCAATCTGACTGTCAGTAGAAATTACATTTAGTTCTGTTTAAGGTAATTTTGTCTCCATTCCCTTAATGTATTAAAAGGATATAATTAACAGTATATATCTGTCTTTAACAGGAACCAGTGATCCGTACGTCAAGTTCAAACTTGGAGGAAAAGAAGTATTTAGAAGTAAAACAATACACAAGAACCTCAATCCTGTGTGGGAAGAAAAAACTTGCATTCTTATAGATAACCCAAGAGAACCATTGTATATAAAGGTGAGACACTGTCCTACTTATGTCTGTCAAATTACAACAAAAGAGTTACTGAAAGAATTTAGATTTTGTAATTTTGTATGCTGAAAAATTTATTGTGCAATAGTGCATTGCTAAAGACTATTTAGAGGTGAAAATTATTTAAATTACATCTGTGGAATCGTGCTGTCAAAATGAAAAAAAAAATGTAGGTACAGGCATTTTTGTTTATTTTATGCCATAGTTGTTTTATACTTCTTTACTGTGATCTTAGGAGAAGGACAGAGAAAGTAAACTCCGTTTCATGATGATTACATCCCTTTTATTTATGTAAATATCATTGCATAATTCTGATATGAAGCATAATCTGTTCCATTGAAAGCAATTCCTTGCTGAGGTTAATTTGAGAATGTATCAAGATGTGTGCCCAATTGTCCTGCTTTTTTTTTTCTGTTTGTACTTGAACACAGTGAGTTTGCTTCCACGTTTTGTAACGCTTTATGCTCTTTTTTTTAACATTGTAAGTCTCCTTAGTATATCACAGGCGGGGATGATTTTGTCGTAATAGAGACATCACTTATTCTGAAATAACAGAGAGCTTGAGTTTAAATCAGAGAGGCCTGCAATGCCCAGAGTACTTAGCAGTAGTGCCACTAGTACTTCTTAGCTGTCTATATTGGAATGGAAACTGGAAAAGCTGTGACCATTGTTCTATAGGCACAGAATGGAAAGGCACTTTTCTGGCCTCAATAGTATATGGTAATCTATATCCAAAGGTGATCCTTAATTGTGTAAAATAAAGTAGATGGAAATTAAGTTCTAACAATGGTATCAGAAAAACTGTAGTCTTAGGTTCTAATTAGAACATACATCGGTCAAAAATACTATGAGAAAGTATGGAAACTTAAGTCAACCTACGTAATCCTTTTAGTTGGACTGAAATGATACAATGCTTCAGATCAGTGTCAGTATTTTAACTGAAAGATCAAATTGTAGATTCTTTTTTTTAGTAGACGAATGCCACTTAAACAGCCTTTGAGTATCGATCTCTACTATGTTTCATGTGTTCTGCTCAGATAAAGCGCATCATTATTAGAAAAGTGTAAATTTGATAATTGTCAGTTGGCATTTTCCTGCCTTTATTAAGCTTAATGAGTCATAAGGAATGAATAGGTGCCCGCTGCTGTGAAAGAGAGAAGCAGATTCAAAGAAGGACTCTTAGAACATAGCTACTTGTTTTGTTTTATTTATGTCAAATACCAACTCCTCAGTAGGGTCACAAGGGAATAGGTGTGAAACCTAGAAAGTTGATTTTGATAATTGACATTTTCCCATTTTTTTGGTAATTTTGTGTTGCAACTGTTGTTTGTTGCCATCCATCTTTTTAGTTTATTTACCTCCAAGTCATCCCCAGTTTTTTTGTTATTCTGGGTTCTCACTTGAGAAGGCATAATCCGTCTCAAGTCATTGATACCATTCCATGTACTGGTCAGAGATTCCTGTCTGGATGTCAGTAAATTTGTCCAGATACTTTCTCTTCTAGGTAGCAAGTTAGCAGGCAGGGTCCTCGTAGTATAGTAATAAATGTCACTGTTTCCTTATGCATATCCATTAAGTTTTCATCTAGGATTATAGTATTTCTACACCCTAGAAACTTCAGAACGTACAATTTTATTATTCCTAACATTGATGCAAGTGCTGTAATAACCCACTTTTCACAACCGCATCCTGCCCTCCTGCCTATATTTTGCAAAATTGATAAAGGTATCAGTGTATAGGAAATCAATGATACTGCTTAACTTTATTTATTCTTTTGGTCTTCCTTCTTTCAGTGCCTATGTTTATAAAAATGCTTCTTTTGTTTTTGTAACATTGATGTTGTTTACATATGCAGCCTAGTAGTAGACCCCCATACCTGTACGTGATGCATGCTGACTTTTAGATAAGCAGTTGCAAACTTGATTTTGTGGCCAGAAATTTCAGGTTGCTTTCACATAGTCCTGGTTTAACATGTGAGAAGCGCGGAGCTGTAACTCTGGAAAAGGAGTTTCAAGAACTGTTCATAAAGCCAGAAAATGTATGAAAAAGATTTCTAACACTGGAAAATGTTTTAATCTCCTGTGCCTCTTAGGTCTTTGACTATGACTTTGGACTTCAAGATGACTTTATTGGTTCAGCATTTTTGGATCTCACCTCATTGGAATTAAACAGGTATGGCACAAACAAGCCTACGGAGTAATTCTTTATGGTTATATGCTAATACCATGTTTGTGGAATTGCAAATAGAACATTACGCTGGAAAATAATTATATAAACCTACAACACACAAAACTAGCTGAAAAAAAATTTGTTTAGTGAATTACAGTAATATGAATGTTAATAATATATTAACTGATCACGTGCAGCATTTTTACAGTGTCACCAGAGAGATTAGTTTTATGACCACTTTAATCTTGTTTTTATATTATCTTCATTCACAGCATTACCACCTACCGGTTAACACTTTCTGGGTTTTAATCCATTAATGTTACAGTTCAGATTTAATTACTTCAGTATGTATAAGTGCTGAACACAGAGTAACAGTATTTAGTATTTATTTGTGAGTGTTTAGATTGCAATACTTAAAAGTATTGTTCAAGTAGTTTCATATAAATGCAGATGCCTTTAGTTCTCATGATTCAGAAACAACATTATTTGAGAACCTGAAATCAAAATAAATGCATACATTTTTGTCTCCTAGGCAAACAGATGTTACCTTGCGTCTGAAGGATCCTCATTACCCTGACCATGATCTGGGAAGTATATTGTTATCAGTTCTTTTGGCTCCTAGAGAAGAACAGCGAGAAGTGGTAATTTTAAATATTTTAATATGTATCTTCACTCTTGTGATTGTTCTGTGGTTGGATGACTTAAAGCACAAGGGTAAACCACTTAATTCTGCGATTAATTTGATTTTTCCAGTCCTTAAAATAACACAGAACAGTGTTTCTGGTCTAGTACAGCATATGCTATCTGAATTGGATCCTCCCTGAGATAGTACTGAGGGATCCAGATGGAACATAAACGTTCAGCAGTTTCAGATACTCTCAGTTGCAGGGGAATAGTGCTGATTAATATGGAAAAATATCAGTAAACTACTGGTGAAGAATTTTGGACCTAGTGCTGCCATCTCTAGATAAGAACATTTGAATCCTATTCCACACTGAAAATAAAGACCTTGAAGAAAGGTAGTATTTCCGCTTTTTGGTATCTAATGATGAAGTATTATTTGATGTTTTCCAATTTCATGACTAGATTTCAATTACAAAATTGTGTGGTTTTCTAGGTTTATTGTAATTCTTTCATCAGTCTTAGTTTTGTGAGCTGCTTAGTTGTAAGTGAAAATAGTTTCCATTTTTATAGATCCTCTTAGTTGTGACAAATTCTGTCTCTAGTTGGATATATTTTACTAGCTTTTTGTCAGTTGACTTTTGACTTAAGCAGTAGTAATACAACTATGGCAGAAATACAAGAGATAACATCTCACTTGGAGGTTGTAAAATAATGTGGATTCCTTTGGTTTCAGAGAGGCCAAGAAAAAAGTTTTAATCTGATGATATTTTCTGTGGATATGGTGAACTATATGGTTTTTGTAAGAGCATGTATGTTGCCATACGCTGCAGTGTGACACATCATCCTGTTGCATACCTGAGGAATATTGGCAGGTTGTAATATTGTTCTTTTTCCACTTTTGTCCTAGCTATTATTAAATAGCCTAGTAAGTCAGTTATTGGAACCAGGTATTTGGTATTTGGTGTGACAGAGAGACAGAGTTTTGGAAATAGGTTTCTCATCTGTTAATTTTCTTCATGACCTTCTGTTAGAACTTAACAAAAATAATGGAATATGGTAATGATGTGCCAGAACTTTATTTGAACAGTGTATTTTTCTTTCTTTTGACAATGCGTTTGTCCAGACAGCTCAGAGTGCTGTCTTGCAAATTTGCATCACAAAACTGTTTATCACTTAAATTGAAAAATATATTGCATTCTGAGTTGGTTTTGTGTATGTATTTCGGTAAGAGCAGCATTTCTGATTCAGCTGGTAACAGCCCTGTGTTTCCCAGTGGCTTTGGCATTATCCTGCCATCATCCTCAATTAAGCAGCACAGAAATACTACTTTTTTTTTAATGGGAAATCATTATGTGGACAGCATGTTAGTTTCCTTTTTTCATCATACAGATAGGATAGCTACTGTGTGCTCAGTCTTATCAGCTATTGTACAAAGAGCACTCAAGAAAATGACAGATGAGAAAGTGAAATTAAGGTACTGCTACGTCACATGTCTTTCATATGGGTATTTACTTGGTGAATTCACAACTGGACATCAAAATTAATGGGATCACAATAGACTTGCTGGGCAGCAACTTTTTTCATATCCAGATGGCTGACTGTAATAGGAGGAAGAATTGGGTTTGTGCTATTACGCATTTCATTATTAGCTTTCTGTTTAGCAAGCTAATCCTTTTAGTTTAGCTCAAGTGACCTATTTTTCTTCCCATTCAAACTGCTACATGGGACTTCATTCTCAAAATCCCCAAGATTCAGATTAAGATTCTGATTCCTAATCTGAAGCTTTGTATTTATGATTAGAAACCAGTCTTCCCAAGATACAGATCTCAGAGCAGTTCTGACAAAGTTGCAGTAAAATTAGGGAATTTGTGTCACAATGCAGGGAAGATGACCTACAAAATTAATATTGAGTTGCTGTATATTAATGTGTTAGGGATTTAATAATTCAAGGTGCAATTATCTTTTATTCAGTTACCACATGTACTTATTTATTTATTTATTAGATTTTATTTACTCTCTAAGGGGTAGATATATTACAAAATGTATCTCTCCAATTAAACTGTCATCCTTGGTTATTTTTAAAAGGTCTTGTAATAATGAGATTAATTTTTACTGAATTTAATGTGGTTGAGATCAATACATTTTCAAATGTTATGTTAGAAGATTGAGGCTAATTCTTGTCCACTCTGGAAATGTGCACCTTATAAAGTAGTAATTAAAGGAACTCCTACATTGCCAATCTGTGTAGCGTGCCTTTTGAATGATTACTGCTTCCCTTCTACTTGGATATCTCTATATAGGTAATAATTCAAATAGTATAGGTGAAATGCATACATAAAAACCTGTGAGCACCCTTAAATATTCTTTAATGACTGCTGCATAGAAGAGACAGAAACAGTGTCTCTTCACACCACAGGCATTTTTCCCTAAGTCATTGCAAATTTATTTAAATCCTGTTGGTTTGATATCCTGATATAGCCTATGTTTCAAAACTGTATTTTCTCCTGAGTAAGTTTTAATTTGTTCGGGTGATAACTCTAAATTGCTTCCACATGTTGTCATACGTAAATGGTGTGAAATGGTTAAATCATCAAGCTGAAGAATTCAGAAATTAACCTACTACTACTTAAATTTCAGGTACTTGAATTGCATATATTTAAAATGAGAGTGTTTATTAAGACTGTTGGGGAGATAAGAAAAGGAGAAGCTTCAACAAAAGAAGTATTAGCTTTCCCATGTAGCCATAGAAGCAGCGTTGTGTCTGATCCTGTACTTTGGATAGCTCTACGGCCATAATCCAAACCCAGCCCTGTTGAACAAGACTTGGCTGTTTGTGCTGTGAGGTTCGGTAATTTTTTTACTGCGGATTAGAATTTCCAAGGAGATCCCTTCACTGCCTGAACTGGAGCGACTGAAAGTGTTTTGGAGGTCATGCGCTGATATGCGATTAAAAGGAAAGTCTTTTGATGATGCATCTGTGTAGCCAGAGGACAGGTCTTGTAGCAAAGTGTTTTATTGGCGTATCAAAATAGTGTAGCTGTATATTACAGGAAGATACATCCTGTCACACTGCGTAAGAAATATTGACACTGCTGGAGGGTAAGATACTCCAGTTGGAAGTTTGAGGTCAAATGGTACAAAACTGGGGGCCTTGTGTATGGCCACCTGTCCGTGAGAGGTGTTATTACAAATTATTTAAAAAATAAATAGCCAGTTTGGCAGAGAGATAGTTTATTTTATTTTGGGTGGAACTGTCTTTTGTGAAGCCTTGAGGTATGCAAAGAGATGACAGATTTGATACACAGAGGAGCATTATCTTCTTATCTTTCAGAAAGAAATTCTGATGAAATGCAGATTTTCTGCATGCTGACTGATGAGATGTTCTTTAGAACTTATAGCTGGAAGGTCCTGTTTCCTAGGATCAAAACAGATTACATCTTTGGATCCAGATATGAATTACAGATATTAACTTACACGTATGCTCGTATAACTGTATGTAAAGTTACATTACAGACTAGAAGAGGGGAGTATTTATCTTTGAGTCCTGGTGGATTGTGAAGAACAGTGCTTAAGTAGTTTACGATTTGTGTTTTTCTAGTAGTAGAATATGGGAGATGGCTTCAGCTAAAGGAAATTCAGTATACCAGTTTCATAAATAAGAACACACTATTTTATTTTTGTGGTATGTTTTCTTGGAAGAAAATACAGAAGTAGCCTGCAGTTATCATTTAATATTAATGTAAGACTGTGGGCAGGTGAACAAATAGAAATTTCTAGCAAATCTAGTGTGTAAGCATCTTTGCCTCTTGTGACCTAGTGCTTGTTCTAAAGGCGAAAAAATGTGAACGTTTAAAGTAGTAATCTTGTAGTATCTCATTCAAACTATATGCATGAATAGAAGTCCTATTCTTTTGAGTTTTGACAAATGAAGGCAATCTGATTTGTTCTGATTTTTGAACAATCATAAATTGTGAATCAAAATTGATGAATGAATTATTCTTATACAATGGTAAGAACAAGAATGTCTTTAGTATTTGTGAAAATTATAGTCTATTTCCAACCTAACAGAATTAAGTTGCAGTAGCACTAGTTCCAGTAATTCATTTGCATTTGCTGTGTGCTGTTAACAATGCCTGCCCTTTACATTAATGCAGCATTTTTAATTATTTTGCTTTTCAAGCACAGATAGCTTAGATAACCAGTGTAAAGTAAGCAGATGTGAAATAAGTAAGTATGGGAAAAGTGTGTAGACATAAAAACGTTAAAACCTGTGAGCTCTGAAAATTTTCTATTAACTCTTCTTTTAAAAAATAATGTGTTTATTCTGTACTTCCCATATTTTTCATTAATTTCTTCTTTTGATGACCAGTTTAAAAGAAGTCAGAACGAGCAATGACTTGATGCTTTTCTTAGACCTGTTCCAGTGAAGCTTGTTTTGTTTCTTTAATTCTGACAGTATTCTATTAATATTTCCCTTTGGATACATATAGTCCTGTGCATGCTTGTGTGCCATTTGTAGTTGCATGCATGCAGGTTAAAAATGTGTACGTGATGTCTGCAGATTCTGTGTTTGGTGTTGTCATCACGGGTGCCGCAGTGCATGTGAGTGTTGCTGGCGCTCTCTCCAGCAGAGTTCAGTGCACAGACTCCGTCACTGGAGAACTTGCAGAGTGACTGTGAGTTCGTCAGAGCTGCATGTCTCCCGTGTCTTCTCTGCAACAGTTGTTTCCAGCCTTGGCTTTAGAGGCAACTCTCAGCTACAGGAAACTGAAAAGTTGGTAGCTTGATGAGAACTGTTGCCTTGAGGCCAGCAGAGACTGGGGACTACTGTTCCACCACTGCCAACGGCCTGAGTAGCATAGAAAATGGAAAAAAGGAAACATACGAGTGCTACTTGGATGTTGTTATTTAATGAGAATAAAATTCATGGCATTGTTTTTCCTTAAATAATTTAGCCCAAATGATGCTTAATATTTTTTTGCTTCATATGAAAATATTAACAACGTTAATATGCTGTCAATTTGCTTGCTGTCTTAAATCTTATAATGCGATATTTTATTTTTTTTTAATTTGCCAGAGGGATAGTAACATCATAGAAAAAAAAGAATGACAGAGATGGACTCGGGGCATGGAATATTTTCAAATGAAAAAGTTCCATGTAGATCATCCATCCTAATCTGCCCTATGCTATATATTTGTTTTATTGGCTTCGAAGGTTGGTTATGATGGCTTCAGCTTATCCTGCTGCAGCTGGTGATGATGCTGATGCACTCAACAAGTATGGTCGTACGTTTCCATAGCTACTACTCAGACTGAACTACTCAGAGTTGAAATAATATTTGATATGTAGATAATTCAGCTGTTGGGCTGTATTTTCCTCATTGCTCACAGGCTGGACCAAAGCCCAGTGCAGCTGAGTCCGTGCTCTGACTTGTAGCTGTGTAGGATTCAGTGACGATGAGGAGGGGAGGAGCTGTGCTATGCTGGACAGGACCCAGGAACTCAGAGGTTTTCTCCAGGGCCTGCTGTGGGCCTCAGGCTGCTTAATTCTTATGTGCCTCTCCTGTAAAAATGAGTTAAATGGCTTTCTCCAGCTTTATAAAACATTTAGTATCTGTATATATTTTCCAAAGCCACAGTGCTACAATTATCATTAACGTATGGCAGAGCCCTTAGGCTTTAACTGTCCATAGCCACCTAAAATTTTCCTCAGCAGCTAGTTGTTTTTCTTTTCCCAAAAACTGTGTCTATTTGAACAATTTCTGGATATTTAAAAAAGATAAAACCCACATATTTTCTCCCATTTTCATTTTTTCCCCATGTAATACTTTTATTTCTTAACAAGGAAAATGTTAACATTTCAAAATTTATTTCCATTATCTGAACAAGAAAGTGGTTTTGCAATAGTTAATAAAAAATAAAAATTATGTGCTTTTTTATGACAAAGTTTCAATAGAAATTAATGGCCTGTGACATTCTCACTCAGTGCCAACAACAGGCTGCTAAATGTTACTAGATTGTGTAAATTAATTTCTCTGTGTTTCCATAGAACTGTTTTAAGCAGTTGTGTTCACAGATAAATTGTCCGCATCCATCTTGACCAGTCTGTCTCTTTTCATTGATTAAGGATCTGTTAAGAATTCTATGATTCTATGAATTGGTGTCTGTGGACACTGCCTCGCGGCGTGTCAGAGCATTGTCTCTAGCAGTGCCAAGGTTTTACAGATGATTTACGTAATGGGATAGAGCTACTGCATTTTGGGTTTTTCAAAGAGTGAAGGTATGATTTTTTTTCTATCCCATGTGGATAATTATCAAACCATAAAGCTATTTTTACTGATGTGAAACTAATTAGCAGTGGCAACCTTAAGGGTTTTGTAATAGATGTGTGTTGTTCAAGGAGCTTTATGCAGGATTTCTGTTACGTGGCTGCAGCTGTGAGCTAAACACTAGTGTTCCAAAAAATTGGAGTACATTAATACTAAAAAAAATATCATTTAAGTATCAGTCAGAATTGAAGTCACTATCAGTGGTGGCACATTCATTTTTTTCATTTGCTTATCTAATTCTGTCTTTTTTTTTTTTCTTTTTTTTTTTTAATGGTATCACATAATGCATTGTCTCTGGAAATGAGATATTCATACCACCCAGAAAAGTATGTCTGGGTGTGAACAGTGCTGCTAGTTTTCTGGATTTATTTCAGTCTTGTGTAGTTGTTGCTGGAGTGTACGTGTTGCTGCTTCAGTTGTAGTGGTGGTTAAATGTGGATTGTCCCATTGGAGACAGTTAGCATCCTTTTCTGTATTGTAGAGAAAAGGTAATTAAAATGCTCTATTTTATTTTCAGACAATGCTAATGAGGAAGAGTTGGAAAAGATCAAGTAAGGTAACTTTTAGCATGTGGTCTTCTGGCCTTTTTTTTTTTTTCAGAAGAACAATGATGTTTTACCAAACATGCCATCTAGGACTGGAAACTGACGGCACAGGATTTATTCTCTTTCAAATTGTGTTTTAATGACATTGTTTTGCATTTCATCAAATCAAAGTCATGAAGCAGTTGAGCTTTTAATGTCATCATTAAACCTCTCAACTTTGTTACAGCATTTTAGCCTATCTTGAAGTTGTCTAGCCACTTCATTTAAGTGGCAAACATGTCCTGATTCTATTTGGAATTTAATTTCTTTAATTTCTTGTGTATAAACAGTTTCCTTAAAGCTTACTTGTTCATGTTGACAAAGAATTCATGACAAAGGGTGACTTTCATTTTCCTGTTACTTACTCCTCTTACTGATGAGAGTTTTCGTGTGTGAAAGTTTTCACAGTGATGCTTCTCAAAGACAAATCTTTCTGATTGCTGGACATGTGCAGATGACAATCGTAGCGAGGCTTTCCAAGAGCAGAGTGCTTAAGGAATCATTGTCGATCTCCACTTTGTACAGCTCTTTAGTCTTCTTCAGGCAGATTCAGTATCTGGCTTTTCTCCTCCTAGGAGCAGTGGGAGTGATGAAAAAGGAGCAGTGTATGCTCTTTTCCGC